AGGAGGAGGAGGAGGAGGAGGAGGAGGAGGAGGAACGAACACAAGAAAGAAGGACAGATAACATTGATGGATGTTTAATAGGGTAGAATGAGCTCTTAGTAGATCTAGTCAAACAACAACAACAACAACAACAACAACAAAAGCTCCCAAAAACGAAAGGTAGTATAAACAACAACAAAAATAGCTTCAACAAACGAGAAGAAGCACAAACAACAACAACAACAACAACAACAACAACAACAACAACGGCAACAACAACAACAAACGAGAGCAAGTACAAACCGAGAGACGTCTAATCACGGACTAGCCCGTATTGATCCCCACAACCCGGTTCGTCAGGAAGTTTGTACTGGTTCCATAAGGTACAGGGGTATTTCTGGTACAGAATGGAAGCTTTACTACGACGGAGTCCATTGAACGTTTTGGAAAGACTTCTGAAGTCTTGAAAATTGTAATCCAACACGATAATCGTGAATTTATGTTCAAGTGCAAGATATAATGGACCCCAAAATGACGTATGTTCAAGGAGTGGATTGGGATTTTCTTTTTTTATGGAGTGCATGTGTGTGTGTGTGTGTGTGTGTGTGTGTGTGTGTGTGTGTGTGTGTGTGTGTGTGTGCGTGTGTGTGTGTGTGTGTGTATGTGGTTGTTGTTGGTGGTGCTGGTACAGGTACATACATAAAGAAAATGAAAGAAACTGCTTTAATTTCTTGTTTAGTAGCATTTCAGAGTCAAAGAATACAAACACACACCTCGAAGAAATACATTAGAACCACAGGCTTAGTCAAGTAAAGAGAAGCATATCGACGGTCATTAGGTGCAGGAGAAAAAACAAGATAAGAGGCAGGATTAACAGAGTGACGAAAAAGAAGTAGGAGCTCTAACTATACAAACAACAGCAACAAAGAGAACGACGACAAGGCCGAGAATGATGACAATAAAGGAGACGACGAAAAAAAACATTGGAGAAAAAAATAGCAGCAAATGCAATAGTATCACAGTTAAAAATGAAACATCATATCTATGGATTTTTAAAAAATAATAATAATAACGTGAGAAGATAGTTACGTATTGGCTATGTTGAGAACAATTGCTGAATATTGATGTCAACATTGCGAACAAAACAGGTGCAGACATTACCCTTACAGCCTGACAACATGTGGAGAGAGAGAGAGAGAGAGAGAGAGAGAGAGAGAGAGAGAGAG